CAATATATCAGCATGTTTCCCTTCTACTGATTGTTTATATGTTGGATAGAAATAGTAGCAGCCAGCTTTGAAGGAGGAAGGGTGTAGGATGATCAACCACGAAACTGAATGCATAGAGGTGTCGGTGCAATATTGCAGATTGTTTCATACCATTAAGTATTTTTTTTGCAAAACATTCTATTGCGATTTTTAAATTTTTAAAGTAGGATGTCAAAAAATCTTTTCGTGCAGCCTAAATGCTATAAGGGCAACTTCTGGATAGAATTATATTTAGCTTGAGTTGCTCAGTAACCTGTTCTTAAATAGAAGACATTTTTTGCACCTCATTCATGTGATTCTTTGTGTTAACCCTTTGACGCGCGCGATATTATTTTTATAATTTTTTTAACTAAAAATTCTAGAAATTGAATATTATGATCCTAGGACAAATAATATATAAAACTAATCTACTCTCTCATTGTTCTGTGGTGGTAGTCGCACGAAACACCACCGTCTAGACTTTGAACTACCTAGATGTAGAAAAAAAATTACTTTTTCCTGCGCGTTCAATATGAAGAAATTCGATTAAAAAAAAGTGCAGTAAGATTCATAATATATATATTTTACTTCCTTGTACGAAGTAAAAGGAAGTATTGTATCGCGAAAAGTTTCAGGCAGCATATTTCAACGAAAATATCCATTTTACCACTTCGAATGCATTTACGATGTTTTGCGTGATATCTGTACGTAAGGCAAATAAAATACTTTTTTCATTCAAAAAATTCTAAAACTGCTTTAAAATTATTATGAGAGAATTTTTCAGGCGTGGAACGTATCTCGCATAACTCAAAAACGAGTAGCCTCAAAGAAGTGAAATTTGTCTATAGGACTGCTATAACATGTAGATGTGCACCTCTATTTTGGTTTCAATCGGCCGCGCCAAACGTATATAATATACTTATTATATATCCACTCTGTTACCGGCTCATAATCTGTATGAGCAATTTCAAAGTGTTAATTGCCGCTAAGCCTTTTTTACTGGCGGCCATGATGTTACATTTGAAACAGGGCTAGTGGATTTTTTGCCACTCTAGATACATGCTTCGCAACGACAAAGTACGCATTCATTATTCTGGAATTAAATCATGTTATTTTTTCAAGGAAATAAGTGTTTAAGACTATCGTATTTTTAAATAGATATTTGAGTTTTTTATGTATTTGCCTTCTCGCGAAGTGAGACTGAAGTACTTAATGAAAAACTCAATCGTTGTTTTGTTTGCTTAATTCTTATACATATTCTATCGTTTTTAGATTGAATATACACGTGGCACGATATATAATTCTATCTTTAAATGCTATAAATTTTGGCATTATGAGTTAAATATGAAGGAATATGTTACTGTTATATATTATGGATTATTAACAGTTAACTTAATTACCTTATATAATTATATACTTTAGTTATCAGCGCGAGTAAACAATACTAGAGTGAATTTAAAGATCATATTCTATTGGATTTAGTGCTGTCGTCGAAAATTTTACTTCAATCCATAGTTTAATGAAATGCAAGAAAAAGCGTATAATTTAATATTCCATCAGGAAGTCATGTGGTGTACACCTCATATTTTTTAGATTATTTTACAAACTAAATTGTCAGAAAAAATTTAAAAATAAACATTTATGTAATTTTTCTATAGCTGTGAAAGTATAAGTACCTACACAATAAGGACGTTTGGCTACATGGATTAAAAATCGCAGTAAAATAAGGATTAAAACAAAATAATAGTCCTTCGGGATTCAAATCCCTTTGGACTAAAAAGACTGTTTTTTTTATTTTTTTCAAGATCAAATATTTTTGTGACACTGTTCAAAGCAGTTTGTCTTTTGGTAAATGCATAGACCACATTGCACGTCGCACATGACTTCGTCTGTGATGTTTTTCTTTATGTTACAAAATGTACACAGATTGGATCTAAATTTCAGGTATATTAGCGTATTTGTTTCTTTCATCTGCAATGAAATTTGTGGTTTTTTTTGTAATGGGGGAGGACTTTGTTTTTTTGGTTCGGGAAGGTCATTGTTTCCATTCATACTATTTATCGTATTGTCTCAAAATATTCAGAAAATATTTTTAATTTAAATAAAACTATGCGATTTATATTTTTAATTACAACAAAGTATATTTATATTTAATTTAAACCAGAGGAAATAATTTATCTAGCTTGGGGAGCAAGTGTGTTGAAGTCAGAGAAAAGTATCTGGAAAAGAAAGACCTTCTTACTGGGCATGTGCATGTGTGGTTTAGTAATAAAATAACTCTGTGATTTCAAAACCCCTTCTCTATATCCGGAAAAAAATGAACATTTTTATTTGAGAAGCAAGCAAACGCCATTGTGAAGAGTGCTCTAGTGGGGCAGTGGTCGGGCCACTGAAACCACAAAGTAAATGTCATACATATAAGAGTTTTTTTTTATATATGCAGTTTAATTATTGCTATTTTTTATTGTTTATGATAGAAATCGTGATGTGCGAAGAATAACTTTTGAAATTTAAAGTTGTTTATATTAATAAAAGGAAGTTATTTTGTTCTTGAAACGATTTTAAAAGGAATCGATTGAGTAAAGACCTAAAACATGTAGGATTTTGTAGTCATTTTGTGTTAATTAGAGGTAAAAGATCAGTAATCAATTGATTTTCACTAAAAAATTTTGGAAGGAAGAGGAGAAAAAAAATTTGAAAAGCGGTGGTTTCAGAACGTGACCACCGCGCGTCAAAGGGTTTAAATTCTTAAAACTTCGCATTCTTCTTTGATCTATGAATTTTCTTCAATGTCTGAACTGGTCAAAAGGTATCTAGGTTTTTCTTATTAGATACAAAACTTATAAACCCTTGTACATCTATAGAATAACTTAACTTCCAATTCACTACACACTTTCAATGATCAGAAATAAAGGGAATCAGTTTGAAATTTTGTAATGTCTTAGATGAAATTATTTTTATTGACTGTGATAAAAATATATTGAATTATTCCATCTTTGTGCTGTATTACTGCATAAATGTGTCATCGTTCTAGTTCTTAACAGAAAATTGTAAACATACTAACAAAAGTTTATTAAAACAAATGCTTACTGTAATGAGCAATGGCAAAACTCTTAAATGAAATACAAAATAATCATGTCTGTTTAATATCATGTACTGAAATTTGGCAGTAGTGTATCCTTCTATATAAACTATCATAATAGAGTCATGGAGTCAAGGGTTATGTAAAAAATATTGTTCTTTTCAAAATAATAATACAAATTGATATAAAGGATACTTTTCCTAATTGTTCATTAATATTGCATGTACCACATGCTTTAACGAATAATTCTACTTCATTTATGAGAGCATGACGAAAAATGCTACTGTTATTATTGAGATGACCTTCAGCTTTTGCTTTATGAGAGGAGTAAAAAGTAATTTCACATGATTAATAAATCATTTATTTTGCGACTTGTAAATACATTAATGTAAAATTTATATGATAGTACATGACATTTTTAAGATTTCTTGCCAGTGGAGATTTAATGACAAGCTTATCATTTGCATTTCGAATGGGAACGTCCATCGTCTTCCTCGTAATCAGACACTTGTGCTGCTTTGTGCAACATATCATAGCCAACTGTTTTGGAAGTTCCAAATGAAGACAAGTGGCTGCGCATTGTCCAGGATTATAATACATTATGGCAGTTTCCCCACTGCCTTGGATCCATTGATGGAAAGCATGTCATCATTTAGGTATATATAACTGTTAAACAATGTGACCTTTCACACACTAACTCCCATAAGTAGCTTATGAAAAGTTAGTTCCCCAACAAGCTTTGTAACAGTATAAACATTAAGAGGCTTATTTTATTATAAAATTAATCCCAGTTTTTTTAAAAATCAGTCTACGTTTTAAAAAAATGGCACTTCAGCTGAATTAGTTTGTTAAATATAATCTTAACATATATATTATTAAAACTTTGCAGTGTCATTTATGTTATTAAAATGGATAATCTGTTTCAAACTTTTGTTTTTTAAACTATGATAGTACATATTCTTAATCAAAACTAAATTCATTACAGGCTCCACCACAGACAGGATCTTCCTATTATAATTACAAAGGTTCATTCAGTATAGTTTTGATGGCCACAGCTGATGCAAAATATAAGTTTATCACTGCTTACATTGGAGCTGCCAGGCATCAGAGTGATGGAGGAATTTTTATCAATTCCACCTTGGGTAAAGTGTTGAATTTGCCTAAAAGTTCTCCAGTTTGTGGATCGCAACATTTCTTGCCATATACTTTTATTGGGGATGAAGCTCCTTTCCTAAAAGTAATTTAATGGGTCTATATCCTGGTCAAGAACTGGATGTAGAAAAATATTTTTAATTACACACTATCGAGAGCACCAAGATGCACTGAGAATGCATTTGGAATCATGGCTGCCAGATTCCGAATTCTGTGTAAACTTATTGTAGCTGGTCTTATGACCAGCCAGAATATTGTGAAGGCCTCTGTCTGCTTGCACATATATTGTTGTAAAGAACAGATGCCAGCAAAAGAAAGACAATATTGTCCTCTGGATTTCACAGATACTAATGATGGCAGTGGTAGTATACTAACGGGCTGATGGAGAGATGAGAACTTACAGAATTTAAGTGTCTCGTTCTGCCTCAAATATGTAGAGCAGAAATGCAGCTGCTGTGCATGTTTCATACACGAGTAACTTTACTAGCCAAGGCGCAGTATGCTGCAGTTTCACTGATGAAATCAAAAACAGTTCTATATATCTACATGAATAATTAATCTGTGCAGATAGGAAGGAAGCAGTTGCCCTTAATCATATGTACATTATCAATGCTGTGATAAGACTGAATACAAAAATTTCAAAAACATAAAATAATAGCTGTTGAGTTAGAATACAGCGCCACCTGTTGGATAAGTAGAGAAACTTTCACATCATGGTAATTGTCTAAGTTACAAAAGTGAACTCAAGTGCATGTGTGAATTATTAGTATTATTTATTTAAAAAGTATCCATTGTTTTTACAATCATAGGTGATAAGATTTATATACTTAATATAATGTGAATATACAGAAGTAATCTTATTTTTTCCCCTCAAATAAACTTCGTATTAACTGAATTTAAGATTACATGCTCATAAGAAATTTAAGGAATTAGTTTTGCTCAGGACATGTAAGTAGTATACAAGCCTTGAATGAAATATTTAATTTCTTGTTAGACAAATTAAACTTATCGATACACTTTTAATAACACAATAATAAAGGACATATTTAGGGTTTATTCATTGTCATCCATCAAATCAAACATAAAATTGGCAAGTCCTCAAGATGCTTTTCTTTGCTGTTCTGGAGGGAAAGACTTCACTCTTTTTGAAATGAAGAGCATAAGGTGGTCAATGTTGGTGTGCTCCTGTGTTTCAAACACAGAAGCAATGGCTTTGTCTACTAGATCATTCCCCCCCCAGAAGAATCTGAAAATAAATTAAAAATTCATTATTAAATAGTAATCTTAATCCCCACTATGCATATTTTACTAAAAATATTTTAAAATTTGTTTCACTATTTTGCTTTGGATTTTGGAACATATACCTGTACATTTCAGATGAAATGTTTTTTTTTAAAATTATTTTTTAAACACATTTTTGTAAATTAGCACATTTATATAAATAGATTTTTCATCATCAAAACATGATATATAAAAATAACAGTTTTTAAGCTACCAGAATTCCAATTCATATTAATATACTTTTAAGCAAGGTAGATTCAGAAACTATTTCTTCTTGTATTAAATCTTCAAAACCCACTGAAGCTTGCTTTGTTGACACTTGCACAGCTAGTTGTTCAAAATCTGTTGAGCATGATGATTTCATATTTTGATTACTCATATTAGACTAAGTACTGAAACAAGCTCAAATTAATAATTACATATTATGCAAAATTCAACCTTACATCACCTTGCTGATACATTTTATTCAAATTCAACCTTGTATTAGTTTTATTGAAAAAATAGTTGCAAAGTAAGAAATGTTTAAAATTAAAATGCTTTAATATACAAAAAACCAAAAATAATTGTATATGGACCTGTAAGGAAGTACAGCTTACAATGCATATTTTTAAATTGTGCTAATGGAATAAATCTTTTCATTACTCGGTTAAATCCATTATTAATATAATTAGTGGATTACACCTGGAGGTATACTAAAATGTATTAATAAGTAAAACACTATAGCTGTATAGTGATTCTCTAATAGGATCTATATCAAATCTTAACTTACTCTGATTTTATAATTAAGTTAAGATAAAAATCATTTGTAAGTATAAAGTGTAAGTTAAAAAAAAAAAAAAAAAAAAAAAAAAAAAAAACCTTTCAGTTCAAACTTTAAATACAGTGGTAATGTGGACTGGACAACTTTTAATTTGCTCTGTGACTGCACTTGTAGGCTGATCTACTACAACATGTCTTGGATGTCTTTTCGCATTCATTTTTTCAAGAGACTGGGGGGTCTTTCCAATCAAAGTGGATATATGACTTGGCTTTCTAAAAAATTATCACTTCAATATCACATGCTGTAAAAGTATGCTCATACACTATGCCAAGTTGACTGTATGTATACCTTACTCATGTTTATCAATTATTTCATACTTTGAATCTAGGGACATCAACTGCTTCTTAGCATTACCCACTTTCTTAGGAGCCATTGTTATAAATTTGTCTTAATGGCAAAATGGTGCATAAACATGTGAGGAAAGCAAGCTTGGTATATGAGATATGCACCTAGTATAAGGTAACCATGTTAACTAGATGACAAGCTTGCTTTTTGCTTTGTTTCCAGTGCTAGCTAGTGGTGGCACTGAGAACCTTTCACTTAGATATTAAGATTTGCTCGAATGCTGGCTTGTATCCTAGAAATCTCATATTTAGATATATCACTCTGTTTATTACATACAGTCCATTATTTTATATGCAAAACAATATAAACACAAATTATTCATCTGGGACAGACAGTTTCAAGGATTGACGATACCTAATATGCTTACTTGTATGCACAGGTGATGGTCTCACTTCATATATCTGTTGGTGCTTTTGTTGTGTTTCTCACTGCCAAATTATTCTATTATTAGGAGAATTCAAAAGTACAGAACGGCATTAATTGAGACATTTATTATGGGAAATGCTTGTAGTAAGGTATCTAAAGAAGCCGGTTTTTGATAGATATAATTTCTTTAATCTGTGCATTTAATATTTTTTAAATTTTGTGGCATTTTTAATTTGTCAGAAATCATCTAAACATATAAATAATACCATAAATTCATGGAGCAGTTCACACGTAACTTGCTAACTCAAAAATTTGGGAGGGGGCATGTTTTAATTTTTTTTATAAAATAGAAGTAAAATAAGAGCAAATAATATAATGTTTATATTTCATGCCTGAAATAACCATTTTTCATAATATAAATAGGCACTCAGTTCTCCCAAAGTACAACTTTTTAGTATATTATTAAAGAATTGCAGTTAAATGTTTGTCATTTGATGAAGGGTCTCATATACAAAAAAGAAACGTAAATTTGGAGTTCCTTGACCTGTTCAAAATAATCAAATTTTTAAAGTAAAAAAATTGCTTTACAATTCATAGAAACACTTCTGGAAAGATATGTTGTTACATTTTAACATGAATAAATTTTATGTTTAATTTCATGCAGGTGTTTTTGTATATTAATTTCAGTGATGGTATTAATTTGATAGGACACTAATACCTATTTTTGATCTGTATCTTCCCCTTTAAGCATTATCTACCATAATATTTTCAAACCATATAAACTCACACAAGAGAAGCTTTATTCATATTTAAAATAATAATTGCTTACAATTACTTTTCAAATTACCCCTCCCCCCCGATAAAAAAGGTCTGTTAGATAACATATTGTATGTAGTTAATCATACTGCTATGCGAAAATATCGTGGAACATGCACATAATGTAAATATCTTACTTTTTATCAATTAAGGAATCCAGAAATGTCATTAGTTGATACATTGACTATTCTCTCTTTCTTTTCACAGCACTACCACTCGTCTGTTTCAGTAACTGTTTTTCTTTTCAGAAGCGATCTCAGAGCGATTTGTATTGCTGCTGGCATCCGTCAGCTACAAGTACAAATCATAAATAAATCAGAAACTTTAATCTATAGAAAAATCATAAATCATAATACTTTGTTATCTTAATTGATTAAAGAATAGAACCTAAAAATGAAATAAAAGAAAGTGTTCACTTAAGCAATAGTATGCGAGGAAGTTACGATATTTTTAACTTACAAATTCAGTAAATAATGCTTTACGAATTTATTTAAAAGTTAATTGTAGTCAGACTTAATCAGTTATATTTCAAGAATTAGCATAAGTAGCTAAAATAAAGATAATTTTAATCAATTTAAAACGCAGAAAAATTTTATGCCACTCACCTCTAGATCAAATCATTTCACCTATGCTGATCCAAGCATTTCTTCTCATCAGCGAATTTTTATGCCGTTTATCATTTAAATTGTACTTGTACGAATACTTCTGCAGTTCATTTATCAGAAGCTCGTCGGTCACTATAGAAGAAAAACTCATTGTTTCTTGATACAAAGTGGGAATTGATTTCCAAAGCTACAGTAGTCAGCGGGTAAGTAAACAAACGTAACTGGTTTATGTAATCACATGACATCAGAAACTAACGTGCCAAGCGGAAAAAAGCTGAAGTTAAGTCAACTCGCGCAGTCTCCAGCCATCTGGAAAATACCACCCCTGAACTCGCTTCTGACTGGTTACAATGTGTTAGCGTGAACTGGCTCTAATAGTTAAGTTTAAATAAGCTTGTTATTCAGTATAAGATAAGTCTCCAAAAAAACTCAGCAGAACTGACTTAAGTCCATCATCATAAAAACAAGCATGCCCTTAAACTCTGTCAAAATTGTTACTATCTTTAAAGATTTTTAGCAACTGACACAAATTCTGCATCTGTACCATCATATAAGAAATTAACTAATTAGAAATACTTAAAAATAGCTCAGAGTTAAAAAGCTCAAAAATTATTCAACATGAAATTTCTGTAGTCTAAGAACTCATCACTGCATATACAAAATTGTATTAAAGTTAATGCACTAAGTTTAAAAATTTTAAAATTTGAAAACCCCCCCCCCCACAAAAAAAAAAAAAAAAAAAAAAAACACTGTCTAAAATTTCTTAAAAAAAATAACATAACAATGACTTAACAGAGCCAACATTGTTGGCAATTACAAACAGTAATAACACATACAAAGAGTTGCTTTCAAGCTCAGAGATCTTGGTGGAAAATATTCATGAAAAATCATTTTCAGTTTAAGTATCATCACAGCATGACACCAGCTTTTGGTGACTTTAGAACATGCTTAATATATATAATATCTGAAAGATCAATTTTCCTTTACGAAAATACTTCAGTTTAAAAAAAAATTATGTTCAAATAAAGATCGATTATTATACTCATAAAATATTATACTTATGCATAAACTTCAGTTAGGAGCGAAAGACATATTAGAAACGTCAGCATCATTTTCAGCTGAACTATAATTTCATCACAAGCAATGCATAAACACTAATACAGAAAAAATAAGTTCTAAATATAACTATCAGATATTTGCTAAACAACACTTAGTTTAGAAACAAACTTTTACGAGTTTGTACGGAATGATAACATCAAAATGCATTAAACAATAAAAATGGTAATATGTTACAAGAAGAGTTCAGAAAAAAGGGAATACCCTGGAAAAAAATTAAGGCTCGTGAATTTAATATGGAATACGATCTCATATGTCTAGCGAACATGTATCACAATGGGTTTTCATGCTGGCAATCATATTATTAGCCACAGTTCAGAGAATGAAGCTCCTCTCTTCTAGCCATGCAGTCTTGAGGCCATTCACATATCTAGGAGGAAGATGTATCCATGCCAGCAGCTTTTCTAAGTCCCATAAGTTCTCTATTTGGTTAAGAGAAGGACATTTTGCTGACCCCGGTATTTGCTCAATGTCTTCACTTTCAAGGAATTCTACAACAAGGTTTGTTCCATGTGGAAGAGCATTATCATCCATATGCACATTCTGAAAAATCTTACACCCAAAGCTTCTGAGACTTCATCCTATATCCAGCCGGTCATAGACCCGCTGTTAAAAATGTGCAGGGGTAAACTGCTGTGTCACGAATTTTAAATTCTGCTTGTTATTTAATTTATTTTTATTTAAATTGTAAAAAGTGTATTTTTAACAGTCAAAGTCTTTAGCTATTTATTTTTCAACGGTTTGATTTTGTAACAAAGACAGGAAGCCTTTCTTTTGAACATTCTTTATAGAAAAGACTTCTTTCTCCATAGCTTTTATAATAGAAGGCAGTACAGTATGCACTGCAGGGGTTTTGTTTACTGGGTGGTAAAAGGAAGTTTTAATTGGAGTCTTGCATTCACTTCATTTTATGAATGCTGCAAGCTGTTAAATAAATTAGTTTCTTTTGGGCGGAAGGGTGTCTGTAAATTTTATCTTAAGGGGCAGTTTGATTCTTATCTCATGTTTTTTTCCACTTGTCAGCTGGGGGTCAAACTTTGGTTTCTCACACTTCTGGGTGACTGGCTGTTTCCAGCTGGTCAACAGTTCTTTGTACAACGTCTCTGCTTCGATTCGTTGGGGAGTGAAGTTTAATTTTATGCAGAATTTTTTGGCCTACAGTTTTTAGTGCGTTTAGAAACAGTTTTCTTTGGAGCTTGTAAGGGTTGTTTAAGTGAGACAGGCTTTAATTTTAGAGTGGTGAATTTTCTTTAAAAGACAATCTAGGGCGTTTGGCGTGCTGCCTACGCCAGCAGTTTGAGGCCGTGTTTCTCTCGGCTTTTGGTGATGAGAATTTTCGTAAGCACATTAACCCTTTCATGCGTGGTAATCGCGCCCTGAAATCACCAATTTTCAAATTCCCCCCTCTTCTTCCCGAAATATTTGAGCGAAAATCAATTGATTACTGACCTTTTACCTCTAAATAACACAAAATGACTGCAGAATCATACATGTTTTAGGTTTTAGTACTTCAAATCGGATGCCTTTTAAAACTCGTTTTCAATGCGACAAAGTAATTCCTTTTTATAAAAAATTTGAATTCAAAAGTTATTCATCGCAATGTGTCACATGCTAGCCAGGTTTCCCAACGTGGGCCTGGGGTCCCGCCCAAGGGGGCATTCGAAAAGGAACTAATCCCGAGTTTAGGCCAAGGGACAAAGGAGTTCAAATTCCAAATTTCTTCAAGAAGTCGAAATTTTAATATTCTCAAAATAAAGAACAATGTAGAACGTATCGTAAAAAAAGTGTTTAAATTGCGATTCATTTTAAACATTTTATAAAGAATTTTCGCTGTAGACATGGACATTTAAATGCTTAAATATTTCTTCCTAAAGCCTATCATTCAAGATTCTTTCGTGAATATTTCAGTTTTTGAATATTAAAAATTATGTATATGCTAAGGGGAGCATAAGAATTTTAGAGAGGATTAGGTGGGGCAATAGCACGAAAAAAGTTGGGAAACATAGCTCTTTACAATCAGTCTGCTTGCTTCTCAAATAGGAAATTTTTTTTTTTTTTTTTTTACCCGGATATAGATAAGGGATTTTGAAACCACAGATTTATTTTATTACTAAACAATACACGCACCTGCCCAGTAAAAAGGTATTTCTTTTCCAGAGACTTTCCTCTGACCTCAACACACTTGCTCCCCAAGCTAGTATTGTGATTTTATAAATTATTTCCTGTGGTCTAAATTAATAAAATACTTTGCTATAATTAAAAAAGAATCGCTTAAGTTTATTTAAATTAAAAATATTTTGGGATGAAATATGAGTAAAATAAGTACGAATGGGAAACGCATGATCCGTACCATAGCCCATAAGACCAACCCCCCCCCATTTACATAAAAAACCACAAATTTCATGTGCCAAATAAAAAGAAACTAAACAACACTGGACATATACCAGTGAAATTTAGATCCAGGCAGTGTACATTTTGTAGCACAAGGAAGAAACCTCATAGAAGATACATGTGCGAAACATGCAATGTGGGTCTATGCGGCGCGCAATGAATTGGAAGTTGATCTGTCAGCATTATCCTTATCTTCAGGGCAGATGTTTTTATTTTATTTGTATAATATAATATATAATTCCTTACTAAATGTAGTACTTCATCTCGATGTACTCCGTCTTTGATATGATTTAAATCAAATTCCTCGTCATTATAATTCGCTTCCGATAGTGAAGAAAGTGACACAGAGGTTATTGAAAACGAAAAAATTTCGATTGACAAATTAGTTGGTATTCTCAACGCAGCAAATATAGGACTTAAACAGCGGAGCTTTGTAACTGAACAAGAAATTATGTCTGTTTATAGAATTAAAGAGAAAGTATTATCACAAAAAACGAAGCAACTTAAACAACTTACATTGAAAGAATGTTTAATAATGTAAACAAATAAGTATTAAGCTTTTTTTTTTTTTTTAAATTTTGATACCCTTTAGATCACAATTGTTCTTTATTTCATAAATTACAGTTTCATATTTTTAATTTTATAATTTCTGCATGCCATCTTACCAGATTTAAACTGATGATCTATAATCCGGAATTGCCAAAGTCCCGAAGAGTCTGGATTAACGAATTTTGACTGTATAAGTTTCTACCTCCTAATATCCGGCATCTGTTGTGCCTGTAATAATGGAAGCTTTAAAAAAGTTTTCTCATTAGAAAAATGGTATTCGCTCCTTTTTCCTGATTGACACTACAGATTTCAAAAAAGTTGTCTCCCATCTTAAGAGTGAAATTTTTTTAATTATTTCTCTCATTTTATTAATTTATTCCACTAATTTCATGGTGGCCTAGTTATATAATCATCTTTCTCTCTATATATACTATGTAAGAAAAATAAAGAATTATGTAAAAGATTAAATTAGCAGCATAAAGTAATTTCCCTTCTCAATTCTAAAAATAGTAACCTATCTCTGCACTGTGTCATTTCGAGACTATTATATGTCATACGACTTACATAATTCTGGTGATGTAAATTGAACTAAAACTCAAGTAGCCAATAATAATTTTACAGCAATATTAACTAGCCAACCAAATTTCGAGAACCAAAACTAACTCAGTCTGACTTGAGATTTCATCCCTGAACATAACACACTTGCTTTCCACACTTTGGTCTAGCTACACTGCTGTCCGTCTGCTTCTTTTTTTGCTACAAATATATAAAAAATGTAAGCCTTTTGGAACAGGCACATTTAATGTGCCAATTTGTGTGTAGTCGTAAGATGTTGCTGAAAATAGAACTGAAGATTTAATCTGCATTCGCCTCCAATTTCCTGGTCATTGCTTCTGAGTTTGAATCTATTTATTCTGCTCTTCAGTTACTTCCGACTTTGTTTTTATTACATATATATATTTTAAGGAGTGATTTGAAATTTTAAGTAAATGACCTGTTATTTTGAAGGATTAAAGATTGTTCCACCAGCTTAATTTGTGAGCTAGAGAATGTTAAAAATAAAAAGGGTAAACTTATAATTAACGCGAGTATGAACTTTGGTATGACGTGTTATTTTTCATCTTTAAGGTTAATTTTGCAGATTACTGATAAGTTTATCCTACTGTCACTTTTTGTAAGATTTATGTCTCATTCAAGCCCTAAAGAAGAACTTTTAAGATTATTGCCACTCAAAGGTCAGATGCGTGGAGAAGATATCGCCAATGCTGTAATTGAGTGTATGGACAAGCATCATATTCCCTTCGATAAAATTGTGCCGACTTCAACAGATGCGGCCAAAAATATGACTGGCGTAAGAAAAGGGGTTCTTGCTACGTAGCGTATTTGGAAACTAAGTATTGTTTCATTCTAGCGCCGTCGCAGCGCTGTGGTAGGCGTATCGCGCATGCGCATTAGCCTTTCTTGTTCACTGACTTTCAATTGTCGCCATTTTGGTTGCTCTATGTTGTGTTTTCAGTTTGCTGTGCACTGGTGAGAAAGTGGGTAAGAATGTTTAATGCAGGTCGAACAAATGTCTCGGATGCCGAGGCTCGGAGTGGTCGGCCTTCTGTTGTCACCGATGATTTGGTAAGGAAAGTCGATGAAGCAATTCATGAGAACAGACGCTTCACAATGAGAACTCTTTCAGAGGCATTTCCACAAATTTCACGTACCGTTTTGTTCGAAATTGAGTCTGACCGCTTGAATTATCGCAAACTGTTTTCCCGATGGGTTCCAAAAATGCTCACTGATGTTCACAAAACAAAGCGACTTGGTAGTGCCCTGACCTTTCTCACGCGGTACGTAGTGATGATGAGGAGAAAACTTTTTTAAAACAAATTGTGACAGGTGATGAAACTTGGGTGTGTCATTTCACACCAGAATCGAACCAACAATCGATGGAGTGGAGACACACTCATTCTCTGAAAAAACAAAAGTTCAAAGTGACAATGTCATCACAAAAAATCATGTGCACTGTCTTCTGGGATAGGAAAGGCGTTTTGCTTACTGAATTTCTTCCCAGAGGTGAAACCATTAATGCGGCACGATATT